TTGTATTGGGGGAGGAGGAGTGACCAGACCTTGACCTATTTAGACGGTTAGCTTAACGGAAATGATATATTGAAATGGGAGGGGAGTAGGGAAAAAAGAAAAAGGAAAAAGGAAAAAGAAGAGGGAGAGGGTAAAAGAGTAAAAAGAAAGAGGCTGTAATTGGGTTTTAGCAATTTATGTAAAGAATAGATTTTAATGCTTGATAGAAATTTAGATGTCTAAAAAAATGTATATATATATATACTAGTTAAAAAGCAGCGCTATCGGGCGACATTTAAACTATCACTTTGTAAATTGCTTAAGAGAGAGAGAGAGCCATAAACTTGAACATGAGGGAAATTTCTTTACGGAAGTCAGTTTTAAAAGTGACTTTTCTGAGGAAGAAGCTTTCTTTGTGGAACTTCTTCCTTATCAACGGAATATGAAGGGAATGCCTATGCTATCTTACTTGTGTACATGCCATTGTAGGTCCGAGTTTAATACTCGTCAAATAATTTCTCATGGAAGTAGCGATATAGTATCCACAAACCACCCGTAAAAAAGTTGAACTTTGTCAAGACTGGAAAGTTAGGAATTAGAAGCTACACCCCAGATATGAGAGCAATATATATGCATAGTATGTGTTTGGTAGCCAGGTGTACAACCTGCGTCAATAATTAGTCTTTAAATCCAATCGAGCCAACACCAAAAATTTTTCAAGTATTATTTTTCAAGGTAAGCAAGCAAGCTGTCTCCACTTGGAAGGGTGCTTCGAAAACCTCACATTTCCAACATCTAAACTTTTTTCGCATCAACAAGTCGAACTTTCACTTTTGCAGTTAAATGGGTGTTCTCATTTTTATCGCTACCACAATGATAACCAGGGAATTTCAGAGTTTTGTATTGATAGACATATATATATGTATATGTATGTATAGTCTTAAGGTGTGCTATATTTATGGGATACAATGCTCAATATCAGAGAAAGAGCGTGTGTAAATATAAAAGTGAATATAAAGATCAACACTTAGAGGCGACAGTCTGTTTCATGCTAGACGCAATCATCAGGCCAACGGTGGCCTGAAGATTACAATCGTCAGCCATCGGTGGCCTAATGATTGCGTGTAGCTTGAAACAGACTGTCGCCTCTAAGTGTTGACTTCAATGTTCACTTTTATATTTACACAAGCTCTATCTCTGATATTGAGCACTTGGTTTTAGATTAGTTGGTATTGTTAACATCTTATATGGATGTTCTTTATTTAACGGTTGCATATTAATTTTCTAAAGTAGTTCTGTATTTTTTATCTATTTATTTTTTTTTTTCAAACGGTTAAGTTACCAACTTGTATTTTATTTATCAACTATAAGATTTTATTTAAAAAGATGAACGAGAATATAACCGGTTAGCATTGTCTTATGTTATCTCCTTATTCCTGTTAGCTTTTAATTTATTTGCTAAGTTGAACGTCAGACATACGATGCATCTTACGAAATAATGTAACAAATTGTATCAGTACATAAGGAAATTGTCTAGGATTTATATGCAGACAATTTCGTCTCTTGACCTATATTAATTTTTTTTCCCAGTGGGTTTGAATTTAGTGGAGGTCACACTCGATTAGTTAATCACGGCAAAGCTCACAGGCTTATTTTTTTTAAAAGTATCTGCTTTAGAAATTATATTAATCTTTCCCTCGCCAGTAGTTTAACATCGAGGAGACACGTTTGTTGTGTTTAAACAGGATTATAATCATGCAGCGATTTTTAACATGTTTTTGTTTTAATATCCTAAAATAAATAATATTTAGCTTTACTCTGTATTGAGCCTTCTTTTAAATTAAATGTTATGTACAGTGGAATTATACTCCATTTTTATCATTTTTTTGGCTATATATATATATATATATATATATATATATATATATATATATATATATATAATTTGGTTAGATTGGAAAAATATTCGTTCAAAAATATTCTTTCAAAAAATTATTTAAAAAATTTTGAAACTACCAGCGTCTCTCGTTTCGTGCGCATGTGCGGACGTGGTAACATCAACAACGCGTCACAAAAACTTTTTTCAAATTTGTTATACTATATATATATATATATATATATATATATATATAGTTGCGTGATTAACTCGTAATACATTCATATGAAATGATTAAGTGCGGACAGCGAGTGAAACATATAAATTGGTGAGAGAGAGAAATAGACTGCTGAGCTTCATAGTGAGATAGATATAGTGATTGAAAGAAGAAGAAGAAGAAGAGGAGGAGGAAGAAGAAGAAAGATGATTTAGAAGACAGAACAGATGCATTCCGTGATAAATGTTGATACTTCTACACCAAAGAAATGAAAGAACAAGAGCAGCATCAGGAAAAGACTCTAACAGAAGGAAGGAAAACAAGAAAGGAAAAAAAAAAAAAAAAAAAGAAACACTCACACGTAGGAATTAAAACACCCAAGAAAAAAATAAGTAAAGTTAAGGGTAATGCCAATATCAGCTGTTTCCTTATAAGGCAATATTCGACATTTGTTGACCGAGCACCCAGTGCTACTGTTGAAATTTTAAAATCTTTCTCTGAAAAATAGGATTTCTAAGTTCACTATTATCGTAGGTCCCTCCCAGTATTAATGGGAATATCCTTCCTAACCGTTTTTTTGAAGTCGTGTGAAACGTCAACATCTTGATAATTATTTTATTTTCGAGTGTTATCCATTTTAGTTGTTACTGTTACTGAAAGTACTCAAATGATGTGATTTCTGTTATTTGGCAAATTCTTTCTTTGTGATTCTGTGGTGCCAATCCACGGGTTTCGTAGAAGGATGGTCCTCGCGAAAACCTACAGGCTTTATTTGCTGAAAGTCGTTTTTAATCATTGATCTGAAAAAGTGGTTGTATACAGCTGAGAGTTTAGACATTTCTGAACGAGTTTGACAAAATACATTGCATTTGTATGAAGGCCTTGATCTAAAGAGCCTGTTTAAGAACATTACTTGAGTTTTAAGTTTCATGTTTTGGTTTTTTAGCATCCTGTCGTTTTGCGCGATATTATTCTTGGTGCAGCTTATTCTATGATCAATTCCCTCACCTAATATAATAATTTTATAACTGATCCATACTCCGACGTATTTAAATTGTTTAATATTTATCATTTTCACATCTTAGATTTATGTACTCAGGGAAGATGCGCGTCCTGGGTAAAACGATGGACTAGATCCGATAGCAAGGCCTTTGATCAGGAGGTTTTGAGGACCATGGCAGCACCTCTTAATTGCTGGTGTTCCTAGGTTCACCCTGACCCGGGGATGGTAGCACAAGTCAGGGCCTCAGCTATGAGCAAATAGTTAACCCCCAAACTGGGGCCAAAGCATTGTGAAAGTGCAAAAATATGAAAGTAAGCAACTCAGACGCTGAATATCAGATTATTCTAATTTAATTATCAAAACAATAATTGCGTGTCTATATTGAATTATGCGGGTATTCTTTGGTCATGTTACTATACCAAATTAAACACCAGATGCGTGGCTGTCCTGGATAAGACGATAAACTACATCTAGCTGCAAGGCCTTTTGATCAAAAGGTTTTGAAAAGCATGAAACCACCTCTTAATTGCTGGTATTTCCAGGTTCACCCTGAGCTGATGTGGTAGTACCTCTTAGGGTCCCAGATATGGGTAAATAGTTAACACTCCAAAAGGGGTCAAAACACTACGAAAGTATAAAAATTGATTATAAACCAGCAATACTTTTTTTGAAAAATTATTAACAGCAATAAAATCTTGTCGGCATTAAATAACCCATTGAGGTTGATATGCTGTAAACCAAACCATGGGAAGGTGCACTCACTGCTTCCTTAGCATTTGTAGATCTAGTTTCTTTTTTAGAAAGCTTTTTGTCGTATTTATTGGAATATAAAAGAGGACGTTTGTTATTAAATAAATATCAACAGAAGATGATGGAATATAACTAAACAATAACAAAATTGCAAAAATGGGCGTAAAAACTGGAAAAGAAAAAGAAAATTAGAGACACACATCTAACCTTCCTGCTTCATCACCACCAAAACCAAAGTGCACTTCGACACAAATACATTTAAGCAGAATATTAATCGTTATCATAAAACTAACAAAAACTGAAATCACTCGCATTTCTATTTTATTTCCCCGGTCAGTGGGTGTATGGCTTCTTAATCTTCTCCGAATGTGATTTATACGCCTCGTAATGAATTATTAGTTTCTACCTTCCACTCTTCGGGTGGGTGTTTATATATGGACATTTCATACGGTTTTTCCCACGCTTGCACATCCTAGGTACACCTTGGTTGACCACCTGGCAGACACTGACATCTTCCTGGCTTTTTTTACTTGTCTGCCGGGACAGTTAAGGCAAAATCTATTCTGACATGATCTGAAGTTAGACGTCTTTCATTCACCCACATACATCTAGACACCTGCACACATATTGACATCTATATATTTATCTTGTTTGCATTAATCTTTCGCGAGGAGACAAGGATTCAGAGACAAGAATAACTAGTTAGTGCTCTACAACAACTGACCAGAACGAGTATGTTCTTTCTTTTTGCCTTTGGAACACTGGGGAAATGAGGATGATTCGACTCCTTGGAAGCAACACGGCGTGTCCAAGTTGTAAAGATCTGAACTAGTGAAACTAAAAATGGAGTTCATTTGAATATTTAATATGAAAACAGCTACACGGTAGTAACAGGCTTGCAACATTATGTTTGTAGGAAAATGTAGGGGAGTAGAAAATAACCGTGAATGTGCCGGCTTGAAGACTCATCTCTTTGGTTTTATAGCTACGTTTCGGCCGATGCATTCTTCGGCATTCGTTAGCGTTTGAAATTCTAAGATGTGTTATTACTATCCCAAGATATATTTGGTCAAATATGTTCTAGCTTTTGAATAGGTCGTTTCGGCCGATGCGCTCTTCAGCCTTCCTCACTATCTGTAATTTTGAAAGAAGACGTTACACTCCCCGCCAAGGCTTACGACCACATGATGTTGAAACACCGATTCCAGTACGATCACCGAAGTTAAGCAATGTCAAGCCTGGTTAGCACCTCGATGGGTGACCGCTTGGGAAAACCAGGTGCTGTAAGCTTGGAATATGCGGCTGGTGTAATGGAGAATGATTTGGAATTGTTAATCGGAGTGCCGAGTTCCAATTACAGTCGGTTTCGTTATAGTTACTTACGCTCAAATATTCTTGGGAAAGGTATGCAGCCATTTCTTCTCCCGCCAGCTATGGGTAAATTAGTAAGACGCGTATTACTAAACTATTACTATCTCTAAAAGAAAAAAGTCTTACAATGTAAAAATATTTTCTGGCTTTATATGACCTGCAAAGGGTTGATAAGCTGTAAAAAATTATACACATATTTCAGTATTTACATTATTCGGACTATTGTCCTCATCTTTGTCGCTATATTTATCACAACGTTTCGGCCGTTGTACGCACCGGCCTTCTTCAGGTGGTTGGAATTTCGAACTGAACCCTTTATTTCACTCACTGGGGTAGACTGTTCTAGTTCCACGTGCCATGTTTGAGGGATGTCAGTTATCAGTTATCTCCTGCTAATTTTCCCTCTGAAAGTTCTCCACTGCCTTAACCGGGTATTGAACTCACACTCTTTGGGTCTGTCGCTGGATCTAACCAACGCTTTTATCCACTGTGCCATGTGTCCTTGAGGACACATCGCACAGTCTACCCCAGTGATCGAAATAAAGGGTTCAGTTCGAAATTCCAACCACCTGAAGAAGGCGGAGGAGCGTACAAAGATGAGGACAATAGTCCGAATAATGTAAATACTGTAAACGTCATCTCAGAAATATAGACAGAACTGAAATGGCGTAATAAATATGGCGACAAAGATGAGGACAATAGTCCGAATAATGTAAATACTGTACATAATACCTCATCTCAGAAATATAGACAGATACTGAAAGGTCGAAACGTTGTAATAAATATGGCGACAAAGATGAGGACAATAGTCCGAATAATGTAAATACTGTACATAATACCTCATCTCAGAAATATAGACAGACACATATTTCACTTTAAAAAAATAGGAATATTTATTTTTCTCGGTCGTCAGCAAGGCAAATTTCGACTACCAGAGGGCTTGAGATCCTGTCAGTAAAACAGTTGTTGACATTACTATAATCTACATATAATCACTAGTAGTAATTTTATTTTATATTTTAATTAAAATTATAGTGATAAAAAGTAATTTCCCAAAAATCATTATCAGCTCTTGATGCTGCCTTGATAACGACTGTATAGTCAGTTGAGGAGGTTCGCTTGAATGTTATCTACAATGTCCTTCAACTAATCCTTACCATATCTGGGGCAGCTACTTCGTCATCCTCTTGACAACGCTCCAGTTGTTTCCAATTAGGATAGCTAGAAGGTGATATGATCGTTAAAATTTTCGGTCAACTTCTGTGTTACGTGCGCCACGTAAAAGGGAGCAGTGTCCGGCTGAAACAATTACAGCCACTCCCTCGATCAACCACCTCGATGTAGGAGTCTGAATCGACCCCGAAGCCCCCCTCCTCCTCCCCAGGAAGAAGTGCGGTAGCATGACAATGTCCTCTTTGTTCACGATCCCTAAGACCATCAGACAACGTGAACTTTGGTGTACATTCATTATGGGTAACACCATGGGGTGCGCGCAAAGGAAACTGTTTTCGTCCATCAACGTACACATCAAGTGCACGGTAACAAGCCATGATATACGTCGATAGTCCGGAAAATACGCACGAACATTTCACAAATATGTCAATAGAAATTGGGTTGAATCATAAATCATTTCCGTGTTTTTTTATGAATTTTATTCTTCGAAATACAAAGTCCAATATTTTATTCAATCATATATTCGCCGTTATTTGCAATGACTCATTGCCACGTGGCTCGATCAGTTAAGACATTGACTTAAATATTTGTATCTATATAAAAAAAATGTATAAACATAGAAATATCTTAAATACATATATATAGTGATCCACAGACAGACTGTTTCGCAGCTCATCAGGGTGGATAGACGTCCGGTTGCCTCTAGATAGGATCGAAACCCGACTGAATTGGTATCAGTTGGGGGGTTCTACCACTAAGCCGTTGGCGCACGGCAGGGATGAATGCGAATTTAAGCGCATATTTATTTTTAGATAAACACACAGTGACTGAGAGAACTCGATTCGATTTACCGAAGAGTTTTGCATTATTAGCCGTAATAGTCACTGTTTACAAACACACACTTCCTCCCAAGAGAGCTCAACCGAAATAAACTTTTCAGATACACCCCTGGTCAAAACCTTAAGACCAGATACAAAAGGGTTAAAAAAAAAATACTTTTACTTAATCAAAATATATTTACGAGGCATTTACATTTATTCTGACAATATATATATATATATATATATATATATATATATATATATAGGTTTCATTAAAGACAAGTGACAAGGTACTGCGATCAAGTAAGCTTTATACTTAATGTTGCCTTTGTTCGTATAATGTTTATTTTCTAGACATAACATGCGTAAAAATTGTCTAAATGTTCTATACCTCCAAGCGCTTTCGGCTATTCTTTTAGCCATTGTCAAGGATATTTTTTTAATCTTTAATTTTAAATGAATGTGTAGATTTTTATATGTTTCTAGAGTGATGGGAATGTTTTTATTTTATTTTAAAAACACAGACAACACATTAAAAATAATGCCAAAATATCCTCCCTGATAATGGCTAATAGAATACCCGAAAGCTCTCGGATATATAGAAGATTTGGGCAGTTTTTACACACACTTTATGTCCAAGAAAACAGTAATACGAATACGTGAAAAAGTAAATAAAAGCTTAATCGCAGTACCTTGTCAGTCGTCTTTAATGAGACCTGTATCAAAGAGGGATTGTTGCCCGAATACACAATTATGTTGCATATGATTGATTATCAGGTTATAATAAAATTTGTATTCTATAGAAATACTACCATATGAAAATTGAGGTGATGTAGATTGGGTTGCCCGTATCATAGATTCGGAGGGTGGAGGCACGAGATCCTTGCACCGGCCCCAAAATATATATATATATATATATATATATATATATATATATATATATATAAATATCTAAAAGGTTAATGGTCAGAGTTGAATTGGACCAGGAAACAGTACTATTAATAATTGTTTAATACTCGTGTGAAAAAAAAAATAAATAAAAGCAACATGTAGAGGTTTAACTTTAAAAATTAGGAGATCGGTTGATTCCACTACCTTGTCTTCAACCTTACGTTATCCACAGGCGATCTTTATCAACTGACCTCTCAACGCTTTATTTTTAAACGAAGATGGTACAGTCATAGGTCATCATTCAAGCTAGTAAGTCTTAGGAGCTCTACCAACCTAGCTAACCTATGTGTGGAATTTAAAAGAAAAAACAGCAGAGATCCGATTGTAAGATGGAATTTTTTAAAAAGGCAAAGCCTTGCAACAACCACAATAACATTTGCAAGAAAATTAGCAATAATGATATTTCCGGATCAAAATATCCTTTAAAACCAGAGATCCGAAGTCAGGAGCCTTTGCATACATATGAGGTTGGTTAAAAAGTATTTACATTTCAATTAATCCCCCACCGATACATTTATAATACCCTAGCTTTTCTCCTCCTTGCTTTCTTCTTCTTCTTCTTCTTCTTCTTCTTCTTCTTCTTCTTCTTCTTCTCATAGTCCTCCTGCTTCTCTTTCTTCCTTTTCTCTTCTTCTTCTTTTTCTCCTACTCCTCCTCCTTCTCTTTCTTCCTTTTCTCTTCTTCTTCTCATACTCCTCCTCCTCCTCTTTCTTCTTCTTCTTCTCATACTCTTCCTTTTCTTCTTCTTCTTCTTCTCATACTCTTCCTTTTCTTCTTCTTCTTCTTCTTCTTCTCATACTCCTACTTCCTTTCTATCACATCCAACGTTGAGGGTATTTTATTTATTTTTAAAATTAATATAGCGTTCATTGCTTTGTTTTTTAAATAAAGCGTTGAGAGCTCAATTGATAAAAATCGGTTGAGGATACTGTGAGGTTGAAACAGTATATATATATATATATATATATATATATATATATATATATATATATGGGGGGGGGGTTTGTGTGTGTGTAGGGTTTGGCAAAAATTCCTCCCACACCTGAAACTGACATCTGTATGGTAGTTGTGAAATTAGGCAAGAGTGTCTTATTATTTTTTTTTTTCTGATAGGATCATTTAACATTATAGCTTGGACCGGTGGGCACTATACGTTTTTGTTTTTAAGACTGGTGAATCTGTAAATGCAACAGAGCTTTTCGTGCTTATTGAAGACGTTGTTCCGTTTTGAAAAATAGAAACTGCTAAGGGTTCAAAATTTCAGGGCCACGGATTCAGCGCTTAAAAGAAAGCCAGATTGGAAGACCTCGAAGCGCTCGAACTTCCGGGGGGGGGGATGGAAAACTTTAGAAATCGTCGGCAATGGTTTATGGCGATTAGAGGTCAACATCTGGAGGGTAACATTTTTAAAAACAAAACTAACCTTTGTTTTGAACAATGGCATAATTTTTAAATAGCAGTTACCTTGGTCATTTTGTCAACTTTTAACATGTGGAAGGTATTTCTGCCGCACCCTAAATCTATCTATCTATCTATCTATCTATCTATCTATCTATATCTATCTATCTATCTATCTATCTATCTATCACAATCTGTTCATATCTATCTATCTATCTATCTATCTATCTATTCAATCTGTTCTATCTATCTATCTATCTATCTATCTATCTATCTATCTATCACAATCTGTTCATATCTATCTATCTATCTATCTATCTATCTATCTATCTATCACGATCTGTTCATATCTTTCTATCACAATCTGTTCATATCTATCTATCTATCTATCACAATCTGTTCATATCTATCTATCTATCTATCTATCTATCTATCACGATCTGTTCATATCTATCTATCACGATCTGTTCATATCTTTCTATCACGATCTGTTCATATCTTTCTATCACGATCTGTTCATATCTTTCTATCACGATCTGTTCATATCTATCTATCTATCTATCTATCTATCTAT